AGGCCAAATCTGATTCTTTATTGTTTTTTTAGTTTTCTGACACGTGTTTGGTCAGAAACTGAACTCCTGACACTGTCGTATATTCCCTCGAGTTTTGCCGGCTGGTTTTTGCAAGTGTCTATGAAATTAGACACGTGGTTTAAGTTTATTGGTGTGTCTGGATCTCACTGCATGCAATGTTTTTGTTTTGTTTTTATCCTTACTATATTAAATAAATTTAGCATTTTTATTAGAGCATGATTATTGGTAGTATCTTATAAATACTTCTTAGCAATATTTAAGTAATATATGTGTAAAAGTGATTGTTAAGAGATAGTATTTTTGAGTTAAGATTTTTGTGTGATTATAGTAGGCTCTTAACATGTGGTTTTTAGACAAAAAATTTAACATAAAAATAAAATTTATAATTATAGAAAATTTAATAATAGTTGCAAATTAAAAAATTTAAAACATACATGAGATACAATTTATAACATAAATAACAGAAAGCATAAATATTTTGAACTTAACTTCTGAAATATTTTGTCCATATATGCTCTTAGCCCTTGTTTAAAAAATCTCTAGGCGCTAGTCGGGCGTTCGGTATGGGCCTAGCGATTAATCGGAAAATCGGATTAAAATCGGGATTAATCGGAGATTAGTTTTATGGTTTTTTTTATATTTTTATCGCATTAAACACATAAAACTATATTTTGAGATAAATTTTTATGAGTTTTATTACAAATTTATGATTATTATTAAAATTCAAACATAAGTTATTTAAAACATCACAAACTCCCAATTTAAATGATTGAATAACAAAAATAAAAAGTTTTTTTTATACTTGAAATCTAAAAATAATCGGGATATGTAAAATTAGGCGGGGAGTAATCGGATTAGGCGAGAAGTAATCGGATTAGACGGAGAGTAATCGGGTAACTGATTTCTTTAAGAGATTAGTCATTAATCGAGGTGGATAGGGTGAGCCTAGCGATTAAGCGGGGGTGGGGGAGTATTCGGGATAGACGGAGATTTTTAGAACATGACTGTTAGCTAAGGAACGTTTCTTAACATTAAAGCACAAAGTTGATTAAATTATATTGCATTAAATGTTAAGAAAAGCTTAAGATTTCTGTAAGAGCTTGCCTTTAATCATGCTCTTACCAATCTAAACCTCGCAAGAAAGGACTAAAATCTCTATTTTTTTAAGGAATACATAGTAAGCGTGGATATTGGGGTATTCAGGTATTCGGTTCGGTTACGGATATTTGGATAGAAGATTTATGATCCATTCGGATATTTTAACGGTTTTGGTTCGGTTCGGTTTTGGATATTTTTGGTGCGGTTCCGGATACTCGAAATATTGAAATTTCGTTAAAACTGGTTAAATTTGAATGAAATTTGGTTAAATCTGGACAAATATAACTAAAAACTTTTCGATATTTTGATTATTTTGAATAAATTGGTTATTTCAATTTATGGGAGTAATTACTTTTTAATTTTTATTGGTTAAAAGTCATTATTTTTATTTTTATTAGGACTTAGTAGACCTGAAAAAATATTCTAAGACTTTTTAGATAATTAAGAATTTCAAAAAATATTTCAAATTCAAAATGATATATGTTATTAAAATATTTTGAAATTTAAGATAACAATGAAATTAAAATTATCTACGGTAGGAGAAAATAGAGTTAAGAAATATAAAATATTAAACATGCAAAACTGTGAGTAAAAAAACATATTATCAAAACAAAAAGTTATGATGAATTGATACAATCTTAAAAAATATATTTTAATAATAACAAATATAAGATATATTTTATAGGATAATATATTTGTTTCGGTCTATAACTGGCGTAAACAAAGAAAATAACCGACGTAAAAAGCCTTCTTTCTTGTAGTAAAAGAGACGCAATCTCCATAAACAATTATTGGGATTTATACTCCAAATTTTTAACAATTATAAATATAAAAAATATATTATAAAGAGACATTACCTTTCTTGAGATTTGAGTCAAGTCTAGAGGCAACCATCAGAACAAATTTAACAAATAACCAAAATTGATAGTTATTTAGAAAAATAAAAATATAAATATATTTACGAATACTAGGTAGTGAAAACTTATGTGATTTCTTTATACTTGAGATAATATATGTTAAAAAATAGTTTAGATAGTATATAATAATCTTGGTTATCGAAATTCAAATTGTTTGGATTCATCATATAGCAAAAAAATCAATGTCAAATAACTAAATTTTTAGTTTTTAATAAATAGAAAAAATATATAGAGAGTTAAAAAGACATTTAAATAGAGAATACTGTTTGTAAAAGATACAATTGTTGGATTAAAGTTGTGATAAAAAATATACGAATAAAACATGATGAAAAGACACAACTCTAAATGAATAAAACCTTAAAACGTATTTTTAAAATATAAAATATCAAAAACTAAAGTTACTAGAAAGTATTTATTCGGATTGCTATATTATGTCGATTTATTATTTCTTTCTTTCGAATTCCGCCAAATGGCAACAACAAAAAAATTTGCATAAAATAAAATAATATTTTCCGTGGTTTATTTTGCCTAGTGATTTTGGTTATGAAGGCTCTTTCGTTTTTAGTAAAAAAATGATATTGTATATGATTATTTTGGCTGGTTTGCTTGGACAATTAGTAGAAAACGCTTGTGTGTAATGCAGGGAAAAAAGTATATGACAAAATTACAGAAGAAGTTAAAAGAAGATGAGAAAAAAGATATAATTACGATTTGAAATTAATTATCTAATTCCCACCTAATTCATTTGATTGGTCATAAACAAATAGTTAATGGCTTATACGTGACACAAAAGGAGGTGAACACATTATTGATGTTCTTAGGTAGGAATTATTTTATTTTGAGTTATATAATGAAGTTCGTTATCACATATCGTAAAGAAAATATATCATCTAAGATATTAGTCGCAATGGTTGTTGAAATTAGTTAGGACATTATTATTTTAGCATCCGTCCTGCATACTCAGTCCCCAATGATTATTGGGATATATAATTCCAGTCTATATTTTGTTCTTTTGTCCTCTTCGTTGCATTTGCAATTAGCAGACAGTTCTCTGTTTTCTAAAAACATGATTTTTCTATTAAAAAAAAGTAACATATATGTGATAACGGCGAAAAATTCCTTTCCACAAAAATAATATGCATGGTCGTTTCATGAACTCGAAATCTATAGTTTCGAATATTTTAAATTGTATAGAAAATTTTAGTGTTATATTTTAGATGTATCTATTAAAGTTTTTACACTTCCTTAACAATTTTGGATGGTTAATCATATTCATTGACACTCGCTACGATTATGACCAAGGACCGCAACGAAACATTGCATTGCAAAATAATGTTTGTTGCAAGATCAAGAACGGTACCACAAAGAACCTATATTTAAATTACACGAGGAAAAAAAAAGCAAAAAATATGTGGGTTTTAGACAATCAAACTATCACTTGATTTTGTTAGCCATGCGAAAATAGAAAAGTCCCACGATATAAACATTATGGCACAACAGACAATAGTGCTTATAAAAGAGAATAAGAGATTCCATAGTTCTTGAAATTTTAAGAAACTGAGAATTTCAGTTGTGATTGGATGGGATAAATCAATGATATATCGTAAATGAAGGAAAATTGTTGTGAAGTTGTAAAATCAAAAGCCGGCCAAGAAATGGAGAGTTGGTTATCGCTATAAATTTTCGATGTAAACCGTCTCAAAGAGTAACATTGTACCCATGGATTCAAATGTATTTTAACTTAATATTAATAGTTCGGTTGAAGAAAGCAATCATTTTCATCGTACGATGTCCACCTAATCACTCGTCTTTGAAGCATATTTTTAAGTTGTACGAAATTCACATCTATAGCTTTGATTAATTTTTTTTATTATAATAGTTATGCATATTGGATTTGCATCCCTAAATTGTATGAATCCATATCGATGAGATTCCAAGAAAAATCTGATTGCAAACACGTGGGATGCAATTTAATTATCCCTAATTCGGTGGGTTATTTTCGTCCGATTAATAGAAATTTTGTTAACAAAAAGTTATATGGAACATATATTAAGAGTAACCGGATCATTCAAAAAATTTCTTTAATCTAGAATTAGAAACAGTTACATGCGACAGTGACGGGATGGCCAAGAAAAGTTTTGGTTATGCAAAGAAAAACAACGAAACTACAAAATCCAAAATAAGAAAATTATTGTAAAATTAGAAATTTAATTTTGATTTTGTTTTGCTAGTTTCTGTTACTTGAAATCTCTCTCGTCATCTTCCAACCAAAAATCTTTAAAAAAACAAAAAGAAAAATCTTCCGGAGCTGCTAACATTTTTTTGCATGGCGTTTCCTCTTCGTGTCTAAGAGCGCTTCATTTCTGTTTCCTCTTCTGGTATGTAATTAGTGTTAAGAATTATCATTAATTGATTTTGCATTCATCTTGTTAACAATTCGATGTGAATTGGCATGAGAGAATATGTTAAGATAGCTGGAAAACTAGAGCAAAATATTATAAGAAACTTAGGATGATTTGATGTTTTTTAGATTCATTTGTGGTTGATGTTACAAAATTCTTTTTTTTTTAGCTTATTTTTCACAGGCCTTTGTGTTATTGTGTTCCAGGGTACATGTTTATTGAGATCAAACCAAATTAACGCAAAAGTTTGTCTCTCTATATGTTGACATCGATAATTATGGGAAATGTTTTGGATTGCATCAAATCTAAAGACAAATATGTTTTGGCCTTGTTGACTTGTTGTTTCCTAAATGTGTGTTCTAGTTCATAAAGTTTATTGCAAAAAATAGAAACAGGTTTTAAACAACTTTACATAATAAATGTTGATTATATATGGGAGATGTTTTGGAATTTTTTTTTTTAATGAAATAAATGTTTTGGATATTTTCATCACATTTGAAGACAAATAGGGTTTTGGCTCTGTTAATTCAGAAGGTGGGTCCTAGTTCATAAATATATTGCAAAAGTAGAAGTTGTTTTGTCCAACTATACTAAAGATGAGCGGCAAGAACCTAAAGTTGATTTAGTTTAGAGAAATTGACTTGGTCTACAGCAAAAGTTGTTAGCATGTTTCTTGCGTTGATTTCATTCAAGTGTTTGTATGATTTTATAATGCAGCTTGCCTGGGAAGATATATTATATCCTTAAAAAGGAGAAAATGGATGAAAACAACGCGGCAAAGTTAACCGGGATCAAGCAAATTGTGAGACTAAAGGAGATTCTTCAAAAATGGCAAACTGTCACAATAGGTTCAAAGTCAGATGATGGCGAGTTGGGAGCTAAAAAGCACACAGCTATCATTTCACCGGTTATCAACAAGAGACTATTGGATTTGAAGACTTGTGACTCGGACGAGGAAACTACTTGCCATAGCCCTGAGTCACCGCCTGATGTCCCTAAAGGATATTTGGCGGTTTATGTTGGACCCGAGCTCCGGAGATTTATCATACCCACAAACTTTCTTAGCCATTCTTTGTTCAAGGTCTTGCTCGAGAAGGCTGAGGAAGAGTATGGATTTGATCACAGCGGTGCGTTAACCATACCTTGTGAAGTTGAGACTTTCAAGTACTTACTTAAGTGCATTGAGAACCATCCTAAAGATGACACCTCGGGTAATAACCTCTTCGTCTTTATCCTCATGCTCAAAATCTACATCTTTCTTTTGCATAGTAATATACAATTTGGTTATAGATAAATCAACAATGTTACAATTAGATTCAAAAGCATGTTGTTATGTGTTGATGATAAGATTGAATCTTGAATGCAATTTCTAATGGTTTTGGAGAGACTTGAGGTCTTATTGATTATTTATTTTTTGTCTTTGCAGCTGGAGATTTAATAGAAACGGAAGATTAAATAATAACACATTACCTATATAAATTCTTCTTTTCCTCTTTTATTACCATCCCCCTTTAAACTTGTATTAGGGCTGATGACACTCCCAATGGTAATTGTAAAATCAGTTTCTCTTTGTATTTTTCTAATTATTTTTCATCTTCTTCTTCTACTTCTCCGTTGTTTTTTTTCTACAAGGAAGAGTAGAGATGATTTCTTTTAACGTGGTGGAATTGATTGTCAAAGACTCAATGTGATTACATATGGTTTTATTGCAAATCTATCATGGACTCACTATGTATGTGAAAAAGCCAACGGTATATTAAATCTAAACTATTTTCACTAAACTAATACAGCGATAGAAACGCCTTATAAGAACTCTATTGTGAAACTCGACAGATATCGATGATATATATATATCCCCTATATATTAATGGAGAAACATTTAAAAAAAAAAACTTTACAATCATGTGTTCAAGATTGTCACGCTGATGTGTCGCTCTCATAATGATTTGGCTTCTATTTAGATAATTACCCAAGATTTATTAGAGTATTTACAGAATTTGCTATTAGTCTCATACATCCATATATCCCATTAATAATTAAAAACATACACTTTTTGTTTATCTTATATTACTATATTTTTATATTTATACTTTTCTTTATATATATTTATATAAATTTTCTTTAGCGGATAGGTAAACAATCTTTTTATTTATATTTATATTTATGTTTATATTTAAATGATAAAATATATACATTTGGTTCAAGAATCTCGAATTCAAAACTACAAATCTTTACATCTTTCATAAATTTTGTACTTAAATAAATAAGATAATCTCCTTTCTATATATGTTACGAATACTTAAAATCCTATTTTTTGGAGGAGTTCTAACTTTTCGAAGAAAAATATTATAACCACATTTGTATATAAACCAAAATTTGGCCACATTATAACCATTTCGTAAATAATCCATTAATAATCTAAGAATCTTAGATTTGGAACACTACAAAATCTTAGCTTGGAAACTATCAAATCTCATCTTTGCTAAATTTTTGATTGCTTATAATTATTAAAAAAAAAATTATTTTTATACTACAAAATCTCGAAATCTTTAAAACATACGAAAAGACTTATTGCCATAAATGGTAACATTTCGTCAATACTTTTTTATCACGTTGAAGCTTTATTCAAAGTTCAAATATTTCACGGGTAAAACATATTCTTATATGAAATAGTCCCAAATTTGAATAAAAAAAAAAAAAATTGTAACATGTTTCGTTTTACACAAACGGATCTTGGATCCCGGATAATAATTTTACTTAAATCACTTCATCCCGCACATAGTGCGGGTTGTTATCTAGTATATATATATATACTAATTACAAGTCATATAAAGACTCTTGAAATCAGCATAGAATAGTTATAATTAATTACCGTGCACAATCCAAAATATTTTGATATGTGTTAGATCCTATACTATTATTTCGGAAGTACATCTATAAGTTTTAACATTGAGTTTTGTAAGAAATTATAAAATATGTCATTACAAATGTCTAATCATAATTATATTTATTCTACGTCACTCATATTAACCAATTCATAATCAAACGGGTCAATGGATCAAACGAGTTTAAAGATTTTACCTAATATTTTGGATGGCATTGGAGATAAAATTTTAAAGAGTAAATTAATTCATCTCATTAAGGTAAACAAGTCAAATATTTAATTTAATTAATTAAATTATAAAAACAAAAATACATTATTAATTTAATAAAAATTACCAATAAAAATGAATATATCAAATTTGATATCTAACTTTCCATATTAATTTGTTATTAATTATTATATTCCACCTCTTATCTTTATATGGTTTTTCTTTTTGTGAAACAATAAATCATCATATCATCAATATAATTAAAAAAAATTAAAATTTGTTCGCATATGCCATGATTTGAATTTTTAAAAACGAATATAAATTGTTTAATCTATGAAAAAAATGTAATAGGTCAAAAATTCAGAATTGAGGAACGGATCAGAATTTGAATATTTATATTCAATTTCATACGTTTATTTTTTGAAAACTATATTTTATTTACTACAATAAAAAATTTAAATATTTTAATATGGAACATTTAAAAATATTTTTAGTTGATATTTTTAAAGAATATCATCAATACTTAATAGATCAAAAATTTAAAAATTATATATACTCTAATTTAATATTTTAAAACAAATATATTTAAAATATTTATAATAGGCGGTAGGTTAAATATAATGTATTATATGATGAAATAAGTTATGATTCGAATAACTATTTGAATATTTATATTTAATTTCATATAATTCTTTTTTGAAATTCATAATTTTATATACTACAATAAAAAAATTTAAATAATTTAATTGGGAATATTTAAAAATATTTTAGTTTAATATTTAAAGAATATAATAAATATTTAATAGATTAAGATATTAATTATAAATACCCTAATTTGATTTTTTTAAACAGATATATTGAAAATATGTATAGCAGACAGCGGGTTAAACATAATGTATTATAGGATAGAAAGAGTTATAATCTTTGTAACAGATGACATGTTGAGATTATATGATGAGATGAGTTAAATAAGGTTTGTAAGGTTTGACACCTCTAGATATTTGAAAATTTGATTCGGCAAGCAATTTTGAAAATAATGAATGATAAAATGTGCACACAATATTTTTGTTGGGATTCTAAAATGAAAATATAGACTTCACGCACGTGTTGAATTTGGTATTATTATATACCAAAAATATGTTCATAACATATTCGATTATGCGAATAATTGCTAAATTCCGTAATTAGCTCAAACAAATCTCTATTTCTACAACCAAAGAATTATAAATTGAAAAAGAAATTTTATAAATTAATTCAAAATAATAGCTAACTTCCTTAATTAATTCAAAATAATCTATGTTTTAAATGCGATTCATTTATGATATTTTGATTTTTGATCTAACTGAATTATATGCAATCTGATTTTGTGGTTGTTGACTTAAATTAACTCATTCTTCAAACATTATTAATTTTTTAAAAATAAAATTATTTTCCGTTTTCATATCTTAAAAATATTATCCATAATTAAGTATAATATTATATAACGGGAGAGACAAAACAATTAATATTTTTCACTTACTACAATAAGTCTATAATATATCAAACTTTTATTCTGAAATATATAATATATAAATTTTGTACTAAATAAATTTTAACCCGTACTTTAGTACGGATGATGAATCAGGTGCTAACCTTTCTAGTCATATTAATATAGATGTAAGTGACGCCTGATACTTCATGACCCGTAAGTCCTTCTTAGAAAGATTCAAACTTATTCCATATCTATAGCAGTAGCAAACCTGCATATAAAGTGGTAATCAGATTAGAGTTGTACTTATTTGAGCTTACTCGAAAATATTGTGATGTAAATAGAACTAATGGATTCTCGATCTGCAAGAAATAATATAGTACTTAGCTTTCAGAGATAAGGAGGACCAAATTCAGATGTTTTCTACATTGTGGCAACAATCCCTTCGTAGTTTTACATATTCCTCTTTGCTCCATATATCATCAAGCTCTTCTTCCATTCGTTATCCATATCAAAAACTAAATCAAGCAACATTGGAGATTTAAAATCAAAGCAGAGAGCAGCTTAGACAATGAAGACGAAAATCACAAATAACATTAGATCAATTCTAGATTTATCTTTCGGATTCAATGTCCTATTCCACCAATCAATTTGTGAACAAAATGAATCAATTGGTATAAGATCAACGAAAATAATCATTTTTAGATTACGTTAGATTCGAATTTCAAATTTCCTTGCTTCTGACGATTTGAAGAAATCTAAGATGTTTGATCCTTTCACAACAATCTTTATCACTTCGTTTGCCAATTTGCATGCTATTGTCAGATGCAGATTTGAAGATGTTAGAATATAAATGATTATAAACAGAAATCGAAGATGAAGATTCATGCCAATTTGAAACCATTGTCAGATGCCGCAACCGTCAAAAAATTCTTCTCAAAATCAGACAATTTTTAGATTTTGTTATTATTATTTTTTTTCGGCGGATTTTTTTTTTCTATAGATAATTAAATATGAACCACTCTAGCTTATATTGGGCCTATTTATCTTTTAAACAATCCAATCGGACCCACCAATTAAACTATGACACAATGCAAATATAAATCTAATTTGGCCCAAAATATCAACCTTCTTTTACAAATAAATTTAATCTTTTATCTCAACAAAAATTACACACCATATAAATTTTATACAAATCAACACATTTAATATGATGTTTTGATACCAAGTAAATCTAATACAACATTATATTCAAATAGTGATAAAAACAATAGTAATAAAAATCATATACTATTATTTGGCATCAATTGCAAACTATACTATTATACAATATTATTACTTATATCTTCAAACAAATTATACAATTTGATTCATACAAAATATTTAATCAGGTGCTCTATAGCACAGGTCATGATCTAGTATAAGAGATAAAGTGTATAACAATGATAACCAAAATACAAGTAGTCACCAAATTAAGCATACATATTTTCACTGGCCAAGCTATAAAAACTCTTTTAAGTGGGCTAAGAAAATATTTACTCAAAAACATAGTTTATAATTTGCTAAAATTTTAAAAAATTATCTACAAATGTACTATACATTCAATCATAATTTGAAACATTTTTATTTATCACCGTTTAATTTGTTACATTTCGAACTATGATACGGTACGGTCATCACAACTACAAAAGGTGCTCAGACCATTGTTAAAGTCATCAGAGCTGCGTAAAGGGCTCAGAGAAGACATCATATGGATTGTCATCAGAGATTTGTTTGTTTCCCTGGGTGTTCTTGATATACACACTGCAACTTGAGGGGGGGGGGGGGGTTAACATGGTACGGTCATCAGAGCTACGATAGGTGCTCAGACCATTGTGAAAGTTATCAGGGCTGCGTAAAGGGCTCAGAGTGTTGTTAAGGTCAGAGCTGTGGGACGTTTAGATAGTTGTTAAAAGTCGTCAGAGCTGCGGAAGGCGCTTAGACAGTTATTCAGGTTATCAGAGCTGCAGAAAGCCGCTAATGTTGTGAAAATCAAAGAGCTGCGGAAGGTGCTCAGAGATTTGTGAAGATCAAAGAGCTGTGGCATGCGCTCAGACCGGTGTGAGGATCGAAGCAGCTGAAGGCGCTTCAAATTCAATTTTTTTTTTTTTTTT